CCCTCCCTCCCACTCCCTCCGCCCTCGCCTCCCTCCTCGCCTCCCTCCCTCCCTCCCTCCTTCCCTCCCTCCCTCCCTCCCTCCCTCCCTCCCTCCTTCGAGCTTCGTCACCTGCCTATCACCCGCGAGTCTTCACCAAACAATTGGAGCTGACCGAAGAGGTCAGACGAGAAACATGTCGGGGAAGACATCAGTACCTTGCTTCGAGGCCAGACCACAACGTCTTTGTGGCAGACATGTTCACCTACAGCTCGTGACCATTGCTCCTTCCCCTTGCTAGCCTCTTCCTCTCCCTCCTTCCTCCCCTCCCCTCCCTCATCATCTCCTTCCTTCTTCCGCTCCTCCAGGCCTGACCTTGATGCAGCCTGATCCTCAACGTTTCTCCTTTCGCCACCTCCACTTTGCCTGCTCCTCCCCCTGCCCTATCGAGAACCTCCTGCAAGCTTGCCCAAGTCGGCAGCCCTGTCCTCCCCGTCCCCTTGGCCTTCACGCAAGGGACCTGACGAGGAGTCACGGAAGAGGAGCAGCAGCGAACGCACATGAATCACTGCGCCCGTCCTGTTCCACCCGCCCTGCAGAAGCAGCAAGGAGCTGTTGTGCTCGTTGTACACGTGCTCCGAGTCAAGTTCGCCGAACTGCAAGAGCAACTCAGCGTCCTTCGCCCCGCCGGCTGTCCCCTCAACCTCTGGGATCTCTTTCAGATTCCCGATCTTCACTCGCGTCACATTGCGGACCCTCCCATCCTCGTCCTCGACTTGCACATCCTGACACTCGTCGTCGGGGCCGAACGGATCCCAGCTCGAGGTGCTGGACTCCGACAGGCTGACGTTGGACAAGGGAGGAGACAGGGCGGTCAAGCCATAGTTCCTGTGAAGATCACTAGTATTGCTGTGATCAGAGAAACCGGTTTCTTCCGCGCTTCTCACTCTGCTCTGCCTCCTCTTCTTCCATATCTGCGACTGTTTCTTGACAGAGCTATTCCAGTCCAGCCCCTTGACCTCCGGGGCGTCAAAGTTGGGGTGGACTTCCTCGTCGAAGGGATCGTGGTACATGGCTGGTTCAGCGCCGTCCCCAGACGAGGACGAGAGCTGAACCAGGAGGTCCTGCGACCAACAGCACTCATTGGAACGGGAGCAGGCAGACAAGACCTCCACACCTCCTCCATTTCCTCATCGTCGAGAGCAAGAAGATGGTCTGGAAGGGCATCCTTCCCAACGCCCGCATCCTCAACGACCTGTCGAGGCTGTGCTTCTTAGCGATCAACCCAAGCGCAGGATGCCAGGAGACCTCTCCTGCCTCTCTCGCTCTTTTTGAGCCCACCTCCTCCTGAGCTCATTTTCGGTCAAAGAGACTGAAGAATTTCAAGGTTTCACCTGCTCTCCCGGCAACCCCGACGCTGCTTCCAGTCCTCGTTTCCTTGCCCAGTGATCGGATCCTCCCCTCAGGCTCAGCGTGTATGTCACCAGACCCCGCAGAAGGTCAACAGGGGACAGCTCGTCCGACTTCGACGTGGAGAAGAAGGTTGCATGCGGCATGCTGCCTGCAGTGTTCATATGGACGACACCGAAACAGACCCTCCCACCTCCCTCCCACCTCCCCCCCACCTCCCGCACTTCTGCTCACCTTAGGAGAAAGAGAATGAAGGGGATCATCGAGGACACGTTCATGATCGGGTTGTAAGATCAAGGTGCATGCATGCATGCCTGGCGTACATCCTCCATCCTCGCCTCCTTCTCCTTCCTTTGATCGCTTCACCCCCACCGCTGCTCAACTTCATGCTTCCGAAAGTTTGCTACCGCCAAACAGTCTCAGTAAGAACTGGACTCCCGGAGTCCGGCGGAGTCCGAGCGGGGCGGCCCGGCCGGGCAGTGCCGCTGTGCCGGCCGCAGTGCCGCCTCAGTGCGGCCGCCCGGCCGGGCGGGCGGCCACCGTGCGCCGCGGCCAGCGGTGGCGCTCACTGCCGCTGTCACGGTCGGGCTCCCGATTGTGCGGCCCCGGCGGCAGTCGGAGCCTCGGAGCCCGGCCAGCGGCTCAGGCCTGCTCAGGGCGATCCTGCTCCGAGTCAGGTCAGGCAGTGCTCAGTGCGATCCGGCGACCGGGTGCCTGGGCGTTCCGAGTTCCGAAGTTCCTGCGGCCGCTCACGCACAGGCTGGCAGCCTGAGCACTGAGTCGGAGTAAAAGTGAATCAGCTGAGCAGCTAACTGAGTTTCCGACAGTGGCAGTTGGCACTCGCGGCCTCACGGTGCGGTCCGAGCGCCTCGGAGGCTCATATCAGTGTGTGAAAGCACGGCGATCATCGGATCCGAAACTTGACTCGAATGATCTCGGATCACGACCGTCAGTGTCCGGCGCTCCAACCTGGACCTCCTCAGACTGGCAATCTAATGATCTTCATTTGCATCTGTGCCGTACGGTACGATATCATGGTCGTGATCTGACCCCGACATTCTGAAGTGCGGCATCGGACTGAGTTCTCAGGCTACGGTCCTCACATCCTTCTCCTTCTCCTTAGAAGAACAGCTACAATTTCCAGCATGTTTCACTGCCAACATGAGTTGGAGGAATCTGCTTTCAGTCAATGCAAGTCGTCTGCATTTCTTTGCTGTTTGTTTTGCGATAAAGAATTATTCTCGAATTCGTTGTCCTCGTGCTATCTTAACTTCTCCCCTTCGCTCTCGTTGAGCATGGCAACTCAAGACTGCTGTCGTGGATTTCCACTTTATGCATTTTCACGAGAAAGTCCAAAATTTTATTTCATCTTACAATAAAGCACAGAAAATTCATGAAGAAAGTATCAATGTTCAAAGTTGCATGAGAGCACCATTCGCGCGTCTGATAACCGGTCTTTCGTTTCGTGATAGCAACGCTATGCAATATTGCAGCGCTTCAAGTTGTTTCTGGCGACTTGGCCCAGAAGAGCCTCTCATGGTCGGCGCGTCCTTGTATTCATCTTGCTTGCTTCGCAAAGCACGAGGAAGAGTCAAGTAGGAGGGTTCCTCGTAACGTGCAGCATCCATCGAAGATGCGAAGGTTTCGATCTCGATCGCGGCATGAGCCACGTCGGGCTCAGCATTCGCTGACATATCCAACATCGCAAAGTCGTCTTGCATCGTGGAGAAGAGGTTCTTGGGCAGGAGAGTTCGTGGAGGATGCCGATGGTGTTGGAGGAGGCGGATGAAATGAATGTATAAGCTCCCATGTCAGCTGCACCGAAATGCTGACATAAAAAGATATCTGTCCGTTGAAATCGAGTCTTTTCCTTCTCAGCAGTCTCATCGCACATCAGCATCCCTCGTGATGTGTGTCATCCTGTAAGTGGCTGTCACATGAGTGACCCTTGACTCATGACCGGCACGGTGAAGTGAAGAGGCCCAGTTCAGCCGGCAGTCTACTAGGCCGGCAGCCGGGCCGGGCCGGGCCGGGCCGGGCCCACTTGCGGTGGCTGGCCCGACGCGGCCCGTTTTCTAGAACGTCTTTGTTGTCACGAATGAGGAAGGCGGGGGAGGAGAAGCGGGAGAGAGAGAAGAGAAGAAAGCAAGCAAGCAAGAAGAGATGGAAGGAAGAAGAGATGGAAGGAAGAAGAGATGGAAGGAGAAGAGTTGGAAGGAAGAAGAGATGGAAGGAGAAGAGATGGAAGGAAGAAGAGATGGAAGGAAGAAGAGATGGAAGGAAGAAGAGATGGGAAGATGGTGGAAGGAATGAAGTGGGTTTGCAAGGGTTACACCACAAAGGTAGGCAAAGCGAGGTTGAAACATCAGCCAAGGAGCTGGTGTGAGCGCAGGGTACAAGCAAAGCAAGTCTTTGAGATCAGATTATGCGATTTGTTTTCTTGCCTGTACTTTGTTATTTCATCAAAATAAGTCGTTTACTAATGGTGAGTCATCAGAACATGCCCGTAGATTATTCCAAGTGGGACAAGCTTGCAGCAAGTGACAGCGAGGACGAGGAAGAAAAGAAGGCGCCTCAGAGCAAGAGGGTCGTCAAGGAGGATGAAAAGATAGTGCAGCCCAAATTAAGCGCCCCTAAGGTAACGCAACGCCAGGGATTGATATGTTCCGTTGTGCTGAGAAAGTGGCGGTAGGAAGCAAGTGGATCGGCTTGGAATGCCAGCAACTATCACTGGGAGGAGCAAAAGCTGGACGTGTGGGGCAAACAACGGCTCAAGGATGTCCTCAAACCCAAAGCAACACTGAGCTTCACCTACAACCAGACAGAACTGACCTACGAGATGAACTTCGACGTCGACACGATCACTGGAGACGTTTGGTCGCACATCCGCAAGGGCAAGAGTGTGTTGGGATACAACCTCGAGTTCTCTCTGGTGGTGACGGGCAAGGTGAAGACGTCGAGCCGTGAGGAGATGTTGAACGCTTCCTTGGAGTGTGACCTGATGGTCGACCATGAGGAGGATCCTGTTGTCAGGTTTACAGCGGGTGACAATCTTCCCTTCAAAGACACTGTGAAGAAATGCATCCTTGCCGAGTATCACTCAAGAATAGGGTTCTTCCTCAAGGAGCTCGAGGTACGTTTCCACTTGCTGTCTGCCGCACGATGAGTGACATGGTTGGCCTGTCTGCTGCAGACAAAAGCTGACGAGAGGAAAAGCAAGATCGAAGAATCGGCGAAGACTCAGGCGACCAGCTCGGAACAAGCAACGACTGCTAAGTCACACTTCGGGGGTCGAGTACAGGTCGGAGGACACAACCCGCAGGGGCTACGAATTGAGAAAGATAACAAAGACTGACGGCAAGAGGGATTTCAGACAATTCAGAAGCTCACTCGCCTAAGTTACCTTACGAGAACGTGACATGATTTTTTTCTTAAGATCAGAAGTTTTTATTTTTGCAATGAAGTCAAAAAAGCTGCCAAGCTCATTATTATTACTGAGCAAGCAGAGAAACCAACGAAAGAGAAGAAATCGAAAGCGGAGTTATGCTTGCTCGAAGAACACAACTATGGCCGTGATGTCGTCAACAACCTGTTTCACGTGTCATCAAACGACGGCATGCAACAAGTCACATGCACACCTCTTCTTCAGCTCGCCATTCCTGATAGGATTTGGCGCATATCTGAAGGGCACATCAATACGACCATTCGCCTGACCACATACACAAACCTCCTGCGCTGCCCGTTCTGCATCACCGTTGCAGCTCTCAACAATCCCGACGACTTGCTGTACAAGCAAAGAAATCAGCTCAGCGATGGAAAAATATGGCACTCACCTCGTTTGACAAGAATTCCCACACACCATCGGAAGCGATCACCATGAACTGGTCAGCCTCACTCATGTCGTAGACCAGGACCTGAAGATGCATCAGAACAAACAACACGTAGTTTCATTTTACCTCCGGGTTCGCATAAACTCCAACAGTTGCAGCAATATCATCGCCAAGAGAACGGGACATCGCCAACCCCTGCATGACAAGCAGACGAGTCAACCAGCGTCTTTTGCCACTGAAAGCAGAACAGACCGGTAACATCATGTTTGGAAGCCACACCCTCGCAGGCCCAATGGGCTCTCCATCTTCATCAAAAAGAGGTTCTACCCTGCCCCCACTCGCAATAATGCGTCTTCTCTCGTCCTCGCGGTCCGGTTTTTGATCGTCGGAAAGCGGTTTGGCAACCAGTTTTCCGCCTTCCATGGTAGCAATAACTGCTCGAGAATCACCAGAGTTCGCTATTACAACCTTACGTTTTCCAGGTGCTCCAATCACAACACCACCCACTGCAGTCGTGCCACTTAGCGAGGAATCAATAGACCGTTCGACTTCCAATGACTTGTTCACTTCGATGAAACTCTTCTCTAGCATTTTGCTTACAACGCTGCTATCAATGCCATCTGCTCGGACTGATTGAGCTTTTAAAGTTTCCTTGTCCAACGCAAGGGGCCACATTCGTTTGACATACGCAGATACTAGATGGCCAACAGCTCCATGGCCATCAAAAACTCCAAAGAGGGAAACACTAGGATGGCCAAACTCTGGGATCGAAACGTAGGCATCCTGATTCGTCTTTTTGTTACCATCTGGTTCATAGCCAGCATTGGACAGACAGGCATATCTCAACGACGAAGTCGCTCCCTTCTCCTTGCTTTGACCCTCTGTGTTCTTATCAAACCCTATGTTGGGCAGGCCAGTCACAGACAAACGACGATTCTGGCGATCCATTTGTTGCTGTGCCGCTTTTTTCTTCTTAGAGAAAGCACCGCCCATACTCTCTCTGATCCGAGAGAGGAACTTCCCAACACACTGCTTCGCTTGCCTCTACAAAAATGTCTTGTCTGTTCGAACGCAAAATCAATACAAAGAAAGAAAGGGGTTGCGACGACAAGAAAAGAACAGCCACAAGTTTGATCTATCAACTCTAGCTTGCTCCGGACTTCTCTCAATACCAATGCCTGCAATGACTTACACTCGACAACTTACTTCTTTGCTATGGATCGTATCCCTTCAGTTCAACCTTTTGATTCTCATCAAACTCACTCATTACCTTCTCTGTCCCACATCATCATTTAGTTGAAATAACTCATGCTGATCGAGATCACCATATCCGAAAATTCGCTGTAATATCCTTTTCTAGCAAGCCTTCCGTCTTGTTCCATTGGCTCCTCCCTCCCTTTCCATACGCTCTCCTTCCCCCAGCTTAATCACTCTTCCCATCCCTGCCCCATCTAGAATTCTGATATTCTTCGTCTTCATTCAGTTGCAAATCTTGTCTTACCTCTCTTTCTCCCTGTTTTTCAACCTATTTCTCACATGAACGGCGCCTCCTGAGACTGCTTCCTCACCCACTCGTATACTCGTCCTTAATTCTTCTTCTTCCTTTCTCACTTCAATCATCATAGAGTGACATGCTATCGCTGACGATGTTTCTCATCATCATCAGAAGCATCGTCGTCAGCGTCAGCATCGTCAGAGACATGAAACCGCTGCCCCTGCAACCTCCCATGAGAGAGGCAGGGATACAACCCCACCCCCTTTCGTCCTGCAATGAACATTTTGATGGACCACCCCTCATAAGAAGGTCTAAACCACCCCTCTGAGCCCTAACTCGGATATGGACGACCAAAAGTTGGAAGTCACCGGTCCCTCTACACTCCTTTACCCCGCATGTCTTCCCTTATTGACTACCCACCCCCTTAGTCTCCTTTTGCTTGTCTTAACCCCCACCCCTCATTAGAGGAATTTTCATACTACATTCCCCAATCTATCTGGTTTTACCACCCTACCCCCTTTCTGGTCAAGCTCTTCCCCGACATTCTGCACAAATCCGGACCCCACCACCAAACAGTCATCACCACCTACCCCCACATAAAGACTTTTCACCACCCCCTGTGACAGCACAGGGTTGGGACCCCATGAACTAAACCCCTGAATTGACTATCAAAAGGACCCCTTCCCCAGGTTTCTATCTCCGGTCTCCCCTTCTCTACATACCACCCCACCCTACTTTATGACTCAGATTCACCCACCTTTGACTAATCAGGAGCGTTTCACGCGTGGCCCAGAGGTCCAGATTCCCAGAACCTGTTTGAAATATATTTCAAATATACATATTTTTAAATGTGAAATTGTCACGATCGTGTCACGGTCTTTTCCCGCCCGAGCCCGTCGTTTACATTGGGTGGTATAGGAAGGGTTAGATATTTTCTGAATACCATCATATGTATTGCGGCATAGAATGGAGCTTGGGCTAGGCACATTTACGGTCCGGTCAGTACCCCACCCCCTGATTCTATCGGTGGGCCCCTGTGGGGGTGCAACTGCCCTGCTGACAAACTCGACCACAACGGTTCAAAAACTGGACCTTTGGGAATAAAATTCTCTTTTATGCCATTGGTCCAGATTATTTCAAATTTATTGAGTAAAATTAGTACCACGGGATCTGGGAATCTGGACCTCTGGGCCACGCGTGAAACGCTCCTCAGTATCGTTCGAGCAGTCACGTAACATTTATTAGTTAATCGTTCACAAGGGCTGGTGCGGCCGGATACTACTGTGTCACGCCAGGGTCAAGCCTCCTCGACTCTCCTGATTGTCCTCGTACTGATTTTAACTTAACTTTGAGTAAAGAACTTGGTACTACTGTACTACCGTGACTGTAACGGCCGGGCCGCGCCGCACTGTCACTGGCCGGGCCCGGCCAGTGCGGCAGCGGCCGGGCGGCCCGGCCGGGTACGTCCGGAGTCCGATCCCCGGGGGCGGCCGGGGCCGGTCGCCGATCGGGGGCCGCCGGGTCGCCGACTCCGGGACATTTGATCCCGGTTCCCAGCCTGGCAGTGGGGCCTGACTCGACTGGGCCGCGTTGAAACCGTTCCCGTCACTGTCGGACCGCCTCGACTCTCAGTCTCATTTCGTATCTCTGGTACCCGTGAGTCAGCCTGGCGGCGGGCTAGCCTTGACTCTGAGTCTCCCGGGCGAGCCGCTCACCGTGTCCCGAGTCCCGAAGCCTCCGAGTCAGGGCCTCAAACTGCCAGTCACCGAGTCACTGTGCCAGAGAGTCCCGGCGACCGTATCGGACGGCCGGGCACGGGCCAGGCCGGGCCGCCCGGCGTCATCCGGCCCGTGGCCCCGGCGGCCGCCCGGCGGTGACCACGGCCCGCCCGGTCTCGGACCGGCTCGGACGCCGCCAGTACGGTACTACGGTACGGTCACTGCCGCCCGGTTGATCATCGAAGATGATCGGATGAGACTGATCGGATGGCACTCCTAAGCGGCCACCATGATTGCCACGGTAGCTCGGTCAAGTCTCACCGTGGCAGAGTCAATTCCGCCGGCCAGTGCCACTCGAACTCTAGCTGCTGAGTCGCCTGAGTTCACGGAAACTGTCGAGGCCGCCCGCAACGCCCCGGCCGGGGGCCCGGATAGCCCGGCGACAACTCACTGAGTCAGCACTGAGCTTCACTCAGTATACGGTAGCGCACAGTGACTCCCGTGACCGTCGTAGCCCGCCGGCGGCGGCGGACCGTCCGATCGCACCGATCCGCGATGATAGTACTCTGCCGCAGTACTTGGCGATACCCCTCGTGACCTCGTCAAGGTTTATGTCACAGTCGCCCTCGGAAAGACCCTCCATGCGGACCTCAACCCCTCTCTGCTGCTGCCCTCGAGACACTGTCATGCGAGACACGATCAGAGTCAGATCGTCCTTCTTCCCCATCGACCTATCCATCCTGTTCTCCGTCCTCTCCCGCAGCCTTCCTCCAAGACCCTCGACGAAGCCCCCGTGTCCGAAGTCACCAAGTACCTCCTCCGACATCGTCTCCAAGGCCGATCTCCTCGCGTGGTCGTCCGAGCCCAGGTTCTCCCAGAAGCCGTCGCTTCCTGCTACGATGATGTCGCCTGATCGCGCATACATCCGCTGCAAGATCTCGTTCTTCCTGTCTCTGTACTGCCGCATGTGCCCTTGGTTCATCCCCGCCTGGTACGGAGGTCTCTTGCCGTTGTCGTGCGGAGAGTGGAAGCGAGGGGGCGACAGGTACTCGCAGCGAGCCCTGTACCGACAGGTCAGTGACCGACGGCTTGCCGTCAAGACCACCCTCCCCCCCCCCTCTCTTCCTCTCTCTCCCTCTCTCTCCCTCTCTCTCCCTCTCTCACCTGCGTCGAGAAGCGTCCAAGGTCAGCAGCGCCCACTGGCTGTCGCCCAGCTCGAGAGCATCGATCATGATCTCGTCACTGTCTCTTCCCGGTTTGAGCTGAAGCGCTACCACAGTCGAAGATGCAAGTTCCAGGATGTCGTGATAGGAAGATGGCTGAGGCATGCGCATCCTCTGGATGCAGTACTCAAGCTTTTCAAAGAGATCGCCGAGCATGTCGACAGGCCTTGCCATGCTCTCCACAAGCTTCCTCGCAAAGATCCCTGACCGATAGCCTCCCTCTCCTACCCCGTCACAGAGCACAGTCAAGCTGTCTTTGATCTCGAAGGCGTCATCATACGGCAGCCAACCATGATAGCGAGGGTCCATGTGCTTGCCTGGCATGCCCTTGAGGCTCACGTACGCCTCGCTGAAGATGCAGCTTCCAGGCTCTGGCCCAGGTGCCTGGCGCTTCGCCAGCCGCGGGTCCCGGGCGGGCCTTGTGTACGGCCTGGCGACTGGGAGGTCAGCTCTGGAGCTTGGGGATGCTCCGCTCTGTGCTGGAGGGACGGCAGAGGTCTGCGGTGCCTGCTCTCGTGCGAGGCTGGCTTGAAGCGACTCCAGCTTCATGCGTGTCTCTCTTTCACTGCTTAGCTCCGTCTGCAGTTTCTGTATGCTGGCCTCGAGGTCCTTGATGGTGTCGATGGCTTGCTTGCGGGCATGCTGGGCGGCAGCATGGGCTTGCCTCTCAGCCTCGAGGCTCTTGCGCAGCTCGTCAATCTGCTCCTTGGCTTTGCTTTGGGTCGTTTCTATCGCGCCGGCCATGTCCTGCACCTCTTCAAGGCCGTCGTGTAGCGCTCGTGCTTGTTGCTGCGACTTAGCGGCTTGCTTGTCGCGGGCGGACTGGGCGCTGCGCCGACACTTGAGCAGCAGCTCCTGATACCTGACCGCCTCGATCTCGTATTGCTTTGTCCGCTTCGTTTGGTCTTCAAGCCTCTGCTCGAGTTGAAGTATCTCTAGCTTGAGCTCTTCCTTGCCGAGCTCCTCGTCCTCACCGTCGGAGATGATGATGGCATCGCTTCGCTTGATCCCCGGGCAGAGCGCCTGCGAGGCTGTCCTGATGGCTACCCGTCCTGCTTCGTTTCCTGTGTGGCGGCATTCCAGTCCGATGAGAGCGGGTGGGAGAGTGCAAGGCGCTTTTGTAGGGATGGACGGGGAACAAGGGGATGCGGGGAGGAAGAGGGTGGGGTGGTGACGGTGCTGGACAAACACGTGGTGCTGAGAGGGAGGAAGACGGGTGGCCGCAGCTGAGTAGATACGGAGAGGGTGGGGGTGGTGTTTTGCTGGGTGTCTCTAGGCAGTAGGAGAGGCTAGTGGGGGGTAGGAGGGGGGCTAGGAAGGCTAGGACCCAGGCTTTCTTACCACTGATACAGGTTCAATCTCAGTACTACTAATGAAATGTTTGAGTCACCGGCTACGGTACTATCAAAGGCTTTGAGTAAACTTATCCGATGGCATAGGCGGACTCGCCTCCGAATCTGAGTCAGGCCGTCCGCCGCGCAGCCTCCCGGACACTCTCTGAGTGCCAATGATGCCGCCGCAGGGCTGAGCGGCCCGGCCTGACCGTCAGCAGGGACCGGGATCCTTTCAAGTTTCTTACAACCGGTTGAATGTAACCGCGGGGACTCCTGAGCGGCGCCGCGGCGGCCCACCCGGACCGTCCGATCCTATCCGATCGGGTCACTGAGTCACCGCCGGTGACTAAGCACCCGTGACCGTCACAGAGTCCGATCACGCGGCCCGCGACTCAGCGTAGCGCACCGTGCCACGGCCCGCGGCGCCGTCTCGATTTTGTTTCACATTGAACGGTTGCCCCGTCCGAAGTTCCTGGGCCGCGCGGCCAGTGTATGGCAGGCGGCGGACCGATCCGCGATGATAGTACTCTGCCGCAGCCTTGGGGTGCCCCGTTGACCGGACCAGTCAGTCGCGGTCATGAACGCGCTGCCGCACTGAACAGTACTTGGCGATACCCCTCGTGACCTCGTCATTCGGAAAGACCCTCCATGCGGACCTCAACCCCTCTCTGCTGCTGCCCTCGAGACACTGTCATGCGAGACACGATCAGAGTCAGATCGTCCTTCTTCCCCATCGACCTATCCATCCTGTTCTCCGTCCTCTCCCGCAGCCTTCCTCCAAGACCCTCGACGAAGCCCCCGTGTCCGAAGTCACCAAGTACCTCCTCCGACATCGTCTCCAAGGCCGATCTCCTCGCGTGGTCGTCCGAGCCCAGGTTCTCCCAGAAGCCGTCGCTTCCTGCTACGATGATGTCGCCTGATCGCGCATACATCCGCTGCAAGATCTCGTTCTTCCTGTCTCTGTACTGCCGCATGTGCCCTTGGTTCATCCCCGCCTGGTACGGAGGTCTCTTGCCGTTGTCGTGCGGAGAGTGGAAGCGAGGGGGCGACAGGTACTCGCAGCGAGCCCTGTACCGACAGGTCAGTGACCGACGGCTTGCCGTCAAGACCACCCTCCCCCCCCCCTCTCTTCCTCTCTCTCCCTCTCTCTCCCTCTCTCTCCCTCTCTCACCTGCGTCGAGAAGCGTCCAAGGTCAGCAGCGCCCACTGGCTGTCGCCCAGCTCGAGAGCATCGATCATGATCTCGTCACTGTCTCTTCCCGGTTTGAGCTGAAGCGCTACCACAGTCGAAGATGCAAGTTCCAGGATGTCGTGATAGGAAGATGGCTGAGGCATGCGCATCCTCTGGATGCAGTACTCAAGCTTTTCAAAGAGATCGCCGAGCATGTCGACAGGCCTTGCCATGCTCTCCACAAGCTTCCTCGCAAAGATCCCTGACCGATAGCCTCCCTCTCCTACCCCGTCACAGAGCACAGTCAAGCTGTCTTTGATCTCGAAGGCGTCATCATACGGCAGCCAACCATGATAGCGAGGGTCCATGTGCTTGCCTGGCATGCCCTTGAGGCTCACGTACGCCTCGCTGAAGATGCAGCTTCCAGGCTCTGGCCCAGGTGCCTGGCGCTTCGCCAGCCGCGGGTCCCGGGCGGGCCTTGTGTACGGCCTGGCGACTGGGAGGTCAGCTCTGGAGCTTGGGGATGCTCCGCTCTGTGCTGGAGGGACGGCAGAGGTCTGCGGTGCCTGCTCTCGTGCGAGGCTGGCTTGAAGCGACTCCAGCTTCATGCGTGTCTCTCTTTCACTGCTTAGCTCCGTCTGCAGTTTCTGTATGCTGGCCTCGAGGTCCTTGATGGTGTCGATGGCTTGCTTGCGGGCATGCTGGGCGGCAGCATGGGCTTGCCTCTCAGCCTCGAGGCTCTTGCGCAGCTCGTCAATCTGCTCCTTGGCTTTGCTTTGGGTCGTTTCTATCGCGCCGGCCATGTCCTGCACCTCTTCAAGGCCGTCGTGTAGCGCTCGTGCTTGTTGCTGCGACTTAGCGGCTTGCTTGTCGCGGGCGGACTGGGCGCTGCGCCGACACTTGAGCAGCAGCTCCTGATACCTGACCGCCTCGATCTCGTATTGCTTTGTCCGCTTCGTTTGGTCTTCAAGCCTCTGCTCGAGTTGAAGGATCTCTAGCTTGAGCTCTTCCTTGCCGAGCTCCTCGTCCTCACCGTCGGAGATGATGATGGCATCGCTCGCTTGATCCCCGGGCAGAGCGCCTGCGAGGCTGTCCTGATGGCTACCCGTCCTGCTTCGTTTCCTGTGTGGCGGCATTCCAGTCCGATGAGAGCGGGTGGGAGAGTGCAAGGCGCTTTTGTAGGGATGGACGGGGAACAAGGGGATGCGGGGAGGAAGAGGGTGGGGTGGTGACGGTGCTGGACAAACACGTGGTGCTGAGAGGGAGGAAGACGGGTGGCCGCAGCTGAGTAGATACGGAGAGGGTGGGGGTGGTGTTTTGCTGGGTGTCTCTAGGCAGTAGGAGAGGCTAGTGGGGGGTAGGAGGGGGGCTAGGAAGGCTAGGACCCAGGCTTTCTTACCACTGATACAGGTTCAATCTCAGTACTACTAATGAAATGTTTGAGTCACCGGCTACGGTACTATCAAAGGCTTTGAGTAAACTTATCCGATGGCATAGGCGGACTCGCCTCGGAATCTGAGTCAGGCCGTCCGCCGCGCAGCCTCCCGGACACTCTCTGAGTGCCAATGATGCCGCCGCAGGGCTGAGCGGCCCGGCCTGACCGTCAGCAGGGACCGGGATCCTTTCAAGTTTCTTACAACCGGTTGAATCATGTAACCGCGGGGACTCCTGAGCGGCGCCGCGGCGGCCCACCCGGACCGTCCGATCCTATCCGATCGGGTCACTGAGTCACCGCCGGTGACTAAGCACCCGTGACCGTCACAGAGTCCGATCACGCGGCCCACGACTCAGCGTAGCGCACCGTGCCACGGCCCGCCGTCTCGATTTTGTTTCACATTGAACGGTTGCCCCGTCCGAAGTTCCTGGGCCGCGCGGCCAGTGTATGGCAGGCGGCGGACCGATCCGCGATGATAGTACTCTGCCGCAGCCTTGGGGTGCCCCGTTGACCGGACCAGTCAGTCGCGGTCATGAACGCGCTGCCGCACTGAACAGTACTTGGCGATACCCCTCGTGACCTCGTCAAGGTTTATGTCACAGTCGCCCTCGGAAAGACCCTCCATGCGGACCTCAACCCCTCTCTGCTGCTGCCCTCGAGACACTGTCATGCGAGACACGATCAGAGTCAGATCGTCCTTCTTCCCCATCGACCTATCCATCCTGTTCTCCGTCCTCTCCCGCAGCCTTCCTCCAAGACCCTCGACGAAGCCCCCGTGTCCGAAGTCACCAAGTACCTCCTCCGACATCGTCTCCAAGGCCGATCTCCTCGCGTGGTCGTCCGAGCCCAGGTTCTCCCAGAAGCCGTCGCTTCCTGCTACGATGATGTCGCCTGATCGCGCATACATCCGCTGCAAGATCTCGTTCTTCCTGTCTCTGTACTGCCGCATGTGCCCTTGGTCCATCCCCGCCTGGTACGGAGGTCTCTTGCCGTTGTCGTGCGGAGAATGGAAGCGAGGGGGCGACAGGTACTCGCAGCGAGCCCTGTACCGACAGGTCAGTGACCGACGGCTTGCCGTCAAGACCACCCTCCCCCCCCCCTCTCTTCCTCTCTCTCCCTCTCTCTTCCTCTCTCTCCCTCTCTCACCTGCGTCGAGAAGCGTCCAAGGTCAGCAGCGCCCACTGGCTGTCGCCCAGCTCGAGAGCATCGATCATGATCTCGTCACTGTCTCTTCCCGGTTTGAGCTGAAGCGCTACCACAGTCGAAGATGCAAGTTCCAGGATGTCGTGATAGGAAGATGGCTGAGGCATGCGCATCCTCTGGATGCAGTACTCAAGCTTTTCAAAGAGATCGCCGAGCATGTCGACAGGCCTTGCCATGCTCTCCACAAGCTTCCTCGCAAAGATCCCTGACCGATAGCCTCCCTCTCCTACCCCGTCACAGAGCACAGTCAAGCTGTCTTTGATCTCGAAGGCGTCATCATACGGCAGCCAACCATGATAGCGAGGGTCCATGTGCTTGCCTGGCATGCCCTTGAGGCTCACGTACGCCTCGCTGAAGATGCAGCTTCCAGGCTCTGGCCCAGGTGCCTGGCGCTTCGCCAGCCGCGGGTCCCGGGCGGGCCTTGTGTACGGCCTGGCGACTGGGAGGTCAGCTCTGGAGCTTGGGGATGCTCCGCTCTGTGCTGGAGGGACGGCAGAGGTCTGCGGTGCCTGCTCTCGTGCGAGGCTGGCTTGAAGCGACTCCAGCTTCATGCGTGTCTCTCTTTCACTGCTTAGCTCCGTCTGCAGTTTCTGTATGCTGGCCTCGAGGTCCTTGATGGTGTCGATGGCTTGCTTGCGGGCATGCTGGGCGGCAGCATGGGCTTGCCTCTCAGCCTCGAGGCTCTTGCGCAGCTCGTCAATCTGCTCCTTGGCTTTGCTTTGGGTCGTTTCTATCGCGCCGGCCATGTCCTGCACCTCTCCAAGGCCGTCGTGTAGCGCTCGTGCTTGTTGCTGCGACTGAGCGGCTTGCTTGTCGCGGGCGGACTGGGCGCTGCGCCGACACTTGAGCAGCAGCTCCTGATACCTGACCGCCTCGATCTCGTATTGCTTTGTCCGCTTCGTTTGGTCTTCAAGCCTCTGCTCGAGTTGAAGTATCTCTAGCTTGAGCTCTTCCTTGCCGAGCTCCTCGTCCTCACCGTCGGAGATGATGATGGCATCGCTCGCTTGATCCCCGGGCAGAGCGCCTGCGAGGCTGTCCTGATGGCTACCCGTCCTGCTTCGTTTCCTGTGTGGCGGCATTCCAGTCCGATGAGAGCGGGTGGGAGAGTGCAAGGCGCTTTTGTAGGGATGGACGGGGAACAAGGGGATGCGGGGAGGAAGAGGGTGGGGTGGTGACGGTGCTGGACAAACACGTGGTGCTGAGAGGGAGGAAGACGGGTGGCCGCAGCTGAGTAGATACGGAGAGGGTGGGGGTGGTGTTTTGCTGGGTGTCTCTAGGCAGTAGGAGAGGCTAGTGGGGGGTAGGAGGGGGGCTAGGAAGGCTAGGACCCAGGCTTTCTTACCACTGATACAGGTTCAATCTCAGTACTACTAATGAAATGTTTGAGTCACCGGCTACGGTACTATCAAAGGCTTTGAGTAAACTTATCCGATGGCATAGGCGGACTCGCCTCCGAATCTGAGTCAGGCCGTCCGCCGCGCAGCCTCCCGGACACTCTCTGAGTGCCAATGATGCCGCCGCAGGGCTGAGCGGCCCGGCCTGACCGTCAGCAGGGACCGGGATCCTTTCAAGTTTCTTACAACCGGTTGAATGTAACCGCGGGGACTCCTGAGCGGCGCCGCGGCGGCCCACCCGGACCGTCCGATCCTATCCGATCGGGTCACTGAGTCACCGCCGGTGACTAAGCACCCGTGACCGTCACAGAGTCCGATCACGCGGCCCACGACTCAGCGTAGCGCACCGTGCCACGGCCCGCCGTCTCGATTTTGTTTCACATTGAACGGTTGCCCCGTCCGAAGTTCCTGGGCCGCGCGGCCAGTGTATGGCAGGCGGCGGACCGATCCGCGATGATAGTACTCTGCCGCAGCCTTGGGGTGCCCCGTTGACCGGACCAGTCAGTCGCGGTCATGAACGCGCTGCCGCACTGAACAGTACTTGGCGATACCCCTCGTGACCTCGTCAAGGTTTATGTCACAGTCGCCCTCGGAAAGACCCTCCATGCGGACCTCAACCCCTCTCTGCTGCTGCCCTCGAGACACTGTCATGCGAGACACGATCAGAGTCAGATCGTCCTTCTTCCCCATCGACCTATCCATCCTGTTCTCCGTCCTCTCCCGCAGCCTTCCTCCAAGACCCTCGACGAAGCCCCCGTGTCCGAAGTCACCAAGTACCTCCTCCGACATCGTCTCCAAGGCCGATCTCCTCGCGTGGTCGTCCGAGCCCAGGTTCTCCCAGAAGCCGTCGCTTCCTGCTACGATGATGTCGCCTGATCGCGCATACATCCGCTGCAAGATCTCGTTCTTCCTGTCTCTGTACTGCCGCATGTGCCCTTGGTCCATCCCCGCCTGGTACGGAGGTCTCTTGCCGTTGTCGTGCGGAGAGTGGAAGCGAGGGGGCGACAGGTACTCGCAGCGAGCCCTGTACCGACAGGTCAGTGACCGACGGCTTGCCGTCAAGACCACCCTCCCCCCCCCCTCTCTTCCTCTCTCTCCCTCTCTCTTCCTCTCTCTCCCTCTCTCACCTGCGTCGAGAAGCGTCCAAGGTCAGCAGCGCCCACTGGCTGTCGCCCAGCTCGAGAGCATCGATCATGATCTCGTCACTGTCTCTTCCCGGTTTGAGCTGAAGCGCTACCACAGTCGAAGATGCAAGTTCCAGGATGTCGTGATAGGAAGATGGCTGAGGCATGCGCATCCTCTGGATGCAGTACTCAAGCTTTTCAAAGAGATCGCCGTCCATGTTGACAGGCCTTGCCATGCTCTCCACAAGCTTCCTCGCAAAGATCCCTGACCGATAGCCTCCCTCTCCTACCCCGTCACAGAGCACAGTCAAGCTGTCTTTGATCTCGAAGGCGTCATCATACGGCAGCCAACCATGATAGCGAGGGTCCATGTGCTTGCCTGGCATGCCCTTGAGGCTCACGTACGCCTCGCTGAAGATGCAGCTTCCAGGCTCTGGCCCAGGTGCCTGGCGCTTCGCCAGCCGCGGGTCCCGGGCGGGCCTTGTGTACGGCCTGGCGACTGGGAGGTCAGCTCTGGAGCTTGGGGATGCTCCGCTCTGTGCTGGAGGGACGGCAGAGGTCTGCGGTGCCTGCTCTCGTGCGAGGCTGGCTTGAAGCGACTCCAGCTTCATGCGTGTCTCTCTTTCACTGCTTAGCTCCGTCTGCAGTTTCTGTATGCTGGCCTCGAGGTCCTTGATGGTGTCGATGGCTTGCTTGCGGGCATGCTGGGCGGCAGCATGGGCTTGCCTCTCAGCCTCGAGGCTCTTGCGCAGCTCGTCAATCTGCTCCTTGGCTTTGCTTTGGGTCGTTTCTATCGCGCCGGCCATGTCCTGCACCTCTCCAAGGCCGTCGTGTAGCGCTCGTGCTTGTTGCTGCGACTTAGCGGCTTGCTTGTCGCGGGCGGACTGGGCGCTGCGCCGACACTTGAGCAGCAGCTCCTGATACCTGACCGCCTCGATCTCGTATTGCTTTGTCCGCTTCGTTTGGTCTTCAAGCCTCTGCTCGAGTTGAAGTATCTCTAGCTTGAGCTCTTCCTTGCCGAGCTCCTCGTCCTCACCGTCGGAGATGATGATGGCATCGCTCGCTTGATCCCCGGGCAGAGCGCCTGCGAGGCTGTCCTGATGGCTACCCGTCCTGCTTCGTTTCCTGTGTGGCGGCATTCCAGTCCGATGAGAGCGGGTGGGAGAGTGCAAGGCGCTTTTGTAGGGATGGACGGGGAACAAGGGGATGCGGGGAGGAAGAGGGTGGGGTGGTGACGGTGCTGGACAAACACGTGGTGCTGAGAGGGAGGAAGACGGGTGGCCGCAGCTGAGTAGATACGGAGAGGGTGGGGGTGGTGTTTTGCTGGGTGTCTCTAGGCAGTAGGAGAGGCTAGTGGGGGGTAGGAGGGGGGCTAGGAAGGCTAGGACCCAGGCTTTCTTACCACTGATACAGGTTCAATCTCAGTACTACTAATGAAATGTTTGAGTCACCGGCTACGGTACTATCAAAGGCTTTGAGTAAACTTATCCGATGGCATAGGCGGACTCGCCTCCGAATCTGAGTCAGGCCGTCCGCCGCGCAGCCTCCCGCCGACACTCTCTGAGTGCCAATGATGCCGCCGCGGCTGAGACCGTTGGCCTATCATTGTGATCCGATGATCCGGCGATCTGGCGCGGCCAGTGACTCACGGCACCCGGCGCCGCAACTTGGATGACAGCATTTCCAGGCTATAGTAGGGTGACACCGTACTGCCAGTGGGCCGGGCCGGGAGGCGCCCGGCTGCTCAGGGCGATGATCGTATGGGAAGAAAGGCCGCTTTCAGTTTGGCGTGACCGACATCAGTGCTGATGTTCTGAGTGCTCCGAGGCGAGTCCGGCGAGCCCAGGCTGAGTACGGTTCCGAGCCAGGCCGCCCGACCCGGCGGGACGTGACGCGGCAGCCCCCGGGCCCGGCGCCCGGCCCGGGCGCGGCCCGGCCCGCGGCCGCGGCCCCCGGGCGCTCAGGCTTCAGAGGCTGGTCCGAGAGTTTTAAATTTGTACCACAAATCTTACTGTAGCACAAGAGGGAGGTACTAAAATGAAGTAAAACGATTTAACTTAAAATGTTCATTTTGTGTTGAAGCCAGTTGCCAGGGGAACGGTTCGTTGAATGTTGAGAAGACGGAAGTGGATAGAAACTGTGATGCAGACAGATAGGTTTTCTTGGGAAGGATATGCTTTCCTCTTCCAGGCAATGTTACAGCATGATGATTAGACGATGTGCTCGTAGACCGTCAGAAGCCCTCGTCTGACTTTTTTTCACATTGCAAACAATCTTTCTGGAACAGGGGTGTCAAGGGATGTCTTGCTTGTGTTTCAAGTCGTCAAGGATTCAAGCCGAAGAATCCCACCACTTGTCTCAATCTACATGCGTTAAGGACCTCGAGGAGGCGAGAAGAAAGATTTCAGAGCTCGAGGAAGCGCTTCAGAAGGTGAGGTCTGCACATGACCAAACTTCCACCTGCACCTCAGAAGGTCTATACTTGGATGGGCAGTCGCTAGCAGACCAGTCATGGAGTCTGCCCGATGATGTTCGATCCAAGCTGAACGAGCTGCTCAACCTCTCCATCGACCCCGGGAGAAGCAAAGAGCTCGAAAACGAGCTGCTGGTCATGCTCGGGATCCAAGTCGGAGTTTGCAAGCAGGAAGAGAAGCTTCAGGGTCAAGACTATGAGCGCAGAGTAGCGAGAGAGTGGGAGATCTCTCGCAAAATCAATAGCCTTGGCGAGCTCGACCTTCTGCGCGCGGTCGCCGAGTGCATTCCAGGGGGGAATTCTAAGTATCCTTTGGCATGGCTGGAAGGAATGAGGCAGGAGGATCTATCTGCTTTCTGTCAGACGACGATAGCGAACAGACTATCTGAGGTCTTGAGAAGAATCCAAGCCTGCCACTCGCAAGAGGCAGGAGGCCATCCGAGTGAAGGCAATACAAAGTATTGCCTCAATGAACAGGACGCGAATTGGTGCAAGGGGACCAAACAAGGAGTGTACGGGAAGATAGAGGAGTTTTACGGGGGACTGGTAGATCGCATTGGTCTGCCTCAGATGCAACTGATGAAGGGCATGGAAGACGAGCATTGCCGGGGAGAGGACTCCTCAGTTCCTTTCACTACAAGTAACTACACCATCAACACAACTCCCGAGGAGCAGTGGAAGGCAGTGACAGACCCGGAGACCAGACGATTCCTATCAGACAACGGGCGGGTTATTCGGGATGTGCAAGAGTTAAAGAATCATCCCACGGCAATCAAGGCGAAGCTGGCAGAGGCAGAGATCATTGCCCTGCAGCTCTACACGGGTGAGACCATGTTGGAGGAGGAGGAGCCTGATAGAACGATTGAAAGCTTGTGAGTAACAGGTCCGATGTACTTCAAGTACAACCAAGTACTACGAGCACCTACAGAGGCCTCCAATAAGTACACAACGACCATCCACTGCATCGTCAGCGGGCTTGTCAAGCTGTCCCACCACACCTCGTTGAAAGAAGGCAGGCGAGTGTGGAGGGGACTGAAAGGCCTGACGTTACCAGAGAGTTTTCTCAAGGAAGACGAGCTCGGAGTGTCGGGAGGGGTTGAATATGGGCTGTTGAGTACAACATCCGACGTCAAGACAGCGATTCAGTATAGCGGAGAAGGAGGAGAGCGGATAGTACTCGAGATGAGCTGTGGGGCGGTCGATCGAGGGGCGAGCTTGAAGTTTTTGTCTCAGTATCCAGGGGAGGAGGAAATTCTGTACCCGCCCATGTCATACTTGGAAGTTTTGAAACAGCCGCAGTACATGGGGGTGGGAGGAGATCGTGTCAAGGTGCTGCAGCTCAAGATCAACTCGAATGTGATGAGCCTGACCATTGAAGACTTCGTGGGGAAGCGCAAGCAGCTTCATGTTGCTCTGATGGAGAACATCGCCAGAGAAGTAGAGCGAGACTTGAAAGAGTTCGGACCAAGAATCCAGGAGCGACTGAAGACTGCAGTGGCAGATTCATTTTACAAAAGCCATGAGAAGCTGATGAAATCCATCATCGACGAGTGCTGGCAGATGGTACAAGAGAGTCGAGCGCAGAAAGCTGAGTGGTACAACGATGAAAAACGATACAAAGAAGCGATAGAAAACTCAAACATCATGAAGGAAATGGCCATGAATAAGATCAGGCACTGGATCGAAGATACTCAAGGGGACTTGAAGTGCGAGGCCCTCGTTGGAGAGCCAATGAAGTCTTCGTACTGGAAGACCATGGCTGACCTGAAATACAAAATCAACAATTTGCCAAAAGAAGGCAAACAAAGACAAGAGATGAGTCAGAGGATTTGTCAAATGTATGGATTGTCAGTCTCACATGAACAGAGTGAGCCTTTGACAGTCCTGGCAGTTGTGCGAGGTCAAAGCGAGTTGATTCCTCTCATCAAGGCATCTGGATGCGACATGAATGTGAGCTTGGGAGATGGGAGGACTGGGCTGCACGTAGCAGCCATGCTGGGTATGGAGGGGAGCGTGAAAGAGCTTTTGATGGCAGGAATTGAGGTGACGGCGAAGGACAAGAAGGGCAAGACATGCGCGTATTGGGCATGCGAGTATGGTCATCTCGAAGTTCTCAAATGTCTGGAATACCATTGTAGCCCTGAAGTTCTCAGCTTGCTGGTTAGAGCCAGAACGGATGATGGAAGGACCTGCGCGCATGCAGCATCTGAAGGCGGACACTTGGAGATTCTAGAGTACTTGAAGGAGACGTTCGGGGAAGACGTACTGAGAGAATCAAGAAATGATGGAGGAACATGCGCGCATGCTGCGAGCCAGGAAGGGCGCTTACAAGTGCTGAATTACCTCAAGGAAACGTGTGGGGATGAGATACTCCGAGTCAAGAAGAACAACGGCGGCTCTTGCGCACATTCGGCTTGCCATGGAGGGCACTTGGAGGTGCTGAGGTACCTGAAGGAGACATGCGGGGAGGACATGCTGAAAGAGAAGCGCGATGACGGCTGGTCCTGCGTGCATTGGGCTAGCCAAGGAGGGCATACCGACATGCTGCGATACTTGACGGAAACATGCGGGAAAGACGTACTGAGAGAGAAGAAGGGCGACGGGGGTACATGTGCACACTCAGCAAGCCTTAGGGGGCACTTGGAGGTGCTCAAGTACCTGAAGGAGACATGCGGGGAGGACATGCTGCGAGAGAAGCGCGATGCTGGCTGGACATGCGCACACTCGGCAAGCCAGGAAGGGCACTTGGAGGTGCTCAAGTACCTCAAGGAGACATGCGGGGAGGAGATACTAAGAGCAAAACGCGATGACGGGTGGACGTGTGCCCATTCAGCAAGTTTGAAGGGACATCTGGAGATTTTGCAATATCTCAAGGAGACATGCGGAGAGGTGGTGCTCAGAGAATCGAGGAGCGATGGTATCACCTGTTCACATTGGGCATGCCAGGCTGGACGATTGCAAGTTGTCATGTACTTGAAGGAGACATGCGGGGAGGACATTCTCAGACAGAAGGCAAACAATGGCTGGACATGCGCGCATGCGGCAGGCCTCAGAGGGCACTTGGAGGTGCTCAAGTACCTTAAGGAGACATGCGGGGAGGAGATACTAAGAGAGAAGAAGGCAGACGGAGGGACATGCGTTCACGAGGCCAGCGCTTGTGGGCACTTGGAGGTGCTCAAGTACCTTGAGGAGACATGCGGGGAGGAGATGCTAAGAGAGAAGAAGAACGACGGGGATACATGTGCACACGCTGCAAGCGAGGAAGGGCACTTGGAGGTGCTCAAGTACCTGAAAGATTCTTGCGGGGAGGAGATACTCAAGCAGAAGAGGGACGACGGCGCGACATGCGCACATGCTGCGAGCGAGGAAGGGCAGTTGGAGGTGCTCAAGTACCTTAAGGCGACATGCGGGGAGGAGCTACTCATGGAGAAGAAGAACGACGGGGGAACATGTGCGCTTGTGGCAGAGCTCAAAGGGCACTTGCAGGTGATCAAGTACCTTGACGAGACATGCGGGGAGGACATGGCAGGTCTCAGTAAACCTTGTGAGCCAGGTGCGTCCAGGGGTTCCCGAGTAACTAATCACTGACATTTCACTGATAGTTCAGTCTAAGACTCCTGCCATTTCAGACCAGAATGGTTCTCCTCCTACTGAGTAAATGCCCCAACCAACCGCTTCTCTGTTCAGAGCCCAACCATCAGATTTTCGACCCCGACCGAGTCACAAGACCTCCCACAAGCTTTTCAAAGAGATCGCCGTCCACTTGCCATGCTCTCTACAAGCTTCCTCGCAAAGATCCCTGACCGATAGCCTCCCTCTCCTACCCCGTCACAGAGCACAGTCAAGCTGTCTTTGATCTCGAAGGCGTCATCATACGGCAGCCAACCGTGATAGCGAGGGTCCATGTGCTTGCCTGGCTTGCCCTTGAGGCCCACGTACGCCTCGCTGAAGATGCAGCTTCCAGCCTCAAGGCTCTTGCGCAGCTCGTCAATCTGCTCCTTGGCTTTGCTTTGGGTCGTTTCTATCGCGCCGGCCATGTCCTGTACCTCTCCAAGGCCGTCTTGTAGCGCCTGTGCGTGTAGTTGCGACTGAGCGGCTTGCTTGTGGAGGGCGGACTGGGCGGTGCGCCGACACTTGAGCAGCAGCTCATGATACCTGACCGACTCGATCTCGTATTGCTTTGTCCGCTTCGTTTGGTCTTCAAGCCTCTGCTCGAGTTGAAGGATCTCTAGCTTGAGCTCTTCCTTGCCGAGCTCCTCGTCCTCACCGTCGGAGATGATGATGGCATCGCTCGCTTGATCCCCGGGCAGAGCGCCTGCGAGGCTGTCCTGATGGCTACCCGTCCTGCTTCGTTTCCTGCTTGGCAGCATTCCAGTCTGATGAGAGCGGGTGGGAAAGTGCAAGGCGATTTCGTAGGGATGGACCGGGAAGTGGGGGATGGGAGAGGAAGGGGGTGGGGTGGTGACCGTGCTGGACAAACGCGTGGTGCTGAGAGGGAGAAAGACGGGTGACCGCAGGTGAGTAGATCCGGAGAGGGTGGGGGTGGTATATGCTGTGAGAGTCTCTAGGCAGTAGGAGAGGCTAGTGGGGGGTAGGAGGAGTGGTAGGAAGGCTAGGACCCAGGCTTTC